ATGATTCTGATGTGTCTCTCACCTTATTGGTGCTGCTCTGTATGCCTTCATACGATGCCCATGTTGTTCCAGCGTAGAGGTATGGAACCTTTGATTGGTCATCCCAGACACTAGTTCCTCCAGCTGTCTTCAACACGGTACATACCTGTAAATACAGGTTACTTTGTAGCCTGATGTATACTTCTTAGCTGACTTTCAACACTGCAATGATATCATACGTTAAGGAAATATCAAGAAAATGAAACAGAAAAATTGGAGTTATCAAGGCCCATCTGCCCTAAGTGATGACAGACACTCTTCTTAAAACAACAGCAACTAGAGTATGCAATGCCAACAAGTAAAACCTTCATGGCAATCTGACACCTACTACAATATACATGTACTAGATGTATTAACAGAGACCTTCACTTTTGTTGTGAAAGGCTGCAGTGTCTATCCCCCTGTAGACCCTCAGCCCATTTAGGGGCGATGGGGTTCACAGCTGCCTTTTATACAATATTGAATTTCCTCAGCCAAGGGATGATTTTACTAAATGCCACTGCCTTCAGCAGCTGCCATATCATAACCTGAACTGTCCTCAAGCTCCTTTTTGTAGTCTAACCCCTGTGACTTGCCTAACCAACGATGTACTCACATCCTGGTAGCTGTATACACCTGTCACTCCCCTAACTGGTCCTGGCTTGCCCTTGCTGACAGCTGGAGCATGGAGGCTGTGGCTGTCTGCTTCACCAAGAGTGTAAGTACGGCCGTAGGTTGGCAGTCCAAGCAAAAGTTTGGATGCAGGCATCCCCAGGGTGAGGTAGTTCTTGATTGTCCCATCCTAATATGAATGACAAAATTATCTGAATATAGAAGACAGAGTAATAGAGCACAAAGCTAGCATATCCTTCCTATAGGCCTCTCTGAATAACATTTGTTATTAATACATCAATAATATATTCATAAAGAAGGGGCTTTGCTTTTGAAATGTTTACAATAACATTAATTTTATAGTTGAAACTTGTTACCTCAAAATCAGGTTTTGGACAGTGTATCATTTTTTTCTTGTAACAGTGACCTTGACCTTTGATGAACCACACCATTCTTGCTTCTACCACACCAAGTTTGAGTTTCACACATTCCTTTTGTTAATATGAAGCTATAATCTGGTGCAATGACATACCAAGTTAAGCTTAATAAGTGCTAATATTCATTCTGTAAAATTATATTTTTAGTATCAGTGACCTTGACCTTTGACAAACCATTCTCAAAATCAACAACGTTCCCTAGGGCAACTCAAAGATCAAGTTTTTATCAGCACACTGACAGGTCATTTATTACTGAAATTCTATTTTTAGTGACCTTGACCTTGGATGGACTAAGCCCAAGTCTGAGATTTACAAAACATTCTATCTGAAGAAACAATCTGGAAAGGTCTGTCCCTCTGTAAAATTCTATATTTAGTAACATTAACTTTGACCTTTGTCATCCTTTGCCAAAAGCATTCTCCCTCTTACGCTGTATCTATGGCAACCCACAAACCATTAGCCTGAGCTTTGGGTGACAATTTCTTTTGTAGTTAGGAACAAGACAGGAAAATTCAAATTAAAGTAAAAGTAACCTTGGCTTTTGATCACACCCAAAATCCTTAATCTTCCCTTGGGCAACCCACATTGCAATCCTACGTTTGTGTGATCATTTATACTTAAGTTAGCATCCAGAAAAGAAAAGTTACTTCTTGCACATCCTGTGATAGCTATAACCCACTGTAGAGGTATACCTGTGATAGCTATACCCTACTGTAGAGGTATACCTGTGATAGCTATACCCTACTGTAGAGGTATACCTGTGATAGCTATAACCCACTGTAGAGGTATACCTGTGATAGCTATACCCTACTGTAGAGGTATACCTGTGATAGCTATACCCTACTGTAGAGGTATACCTGTGATAGCTATAACCCACTGTAGAGGTATACCTGTGATAGCTATAACCTACTGTAGAGGTATACCTGTGATAGCTATAACCCACTGTAGAGGTATACCTGTGATAGCTATAACCTACTGTAGAGGTATACCTGTGATAGCTATAACCCACTGTAGAGGTATACCTGTGATAGCTATAACCTACTGTAGAGGTATACCTGTGATAGCTATAACCCACTGTAGAGGTATACCTGTGATAGCTATAACCTACTGTAGAGGTATACCTGTGATAGCTATAACCCACTGTAGAGGTATACCTGTGATAGCTATAACCTACTGTAGAGGTATACCTGTGATAGCTATAACCCACTGTAGAGGTATACCTGTGATAGCTATAACCTACTGTAGAGGTATACCTGTGATAGCTATAACCCACTGTAGAGGTATACCTGTGATAGCTATAACCTACTGTAGAGGTATACCTGTGATAGCTATAACCCACTGTAGAGGTATACCTGTGATAGCTATAACCTACTGTAGAGGTATACCTGTGATAGCTATAACCCACTGTAGAGGTATACCTGTGATAGCTATAACCTACTGTAGAGGTATACCTGTGATAGCTATAACCCACTGTAGAGGTATACCTGTGATAGCTATAACCTACTATAGAGGTATACCTGTGATAGCTATAACCCACTGTAGAGGTATACCTGTGATAGCTATAACCCACTGTAGAGGTATACCTGTGATAGCTATAACCCACTGTAGAGGTATACTAACCACACAGTAGTCCTTTCTCTCTCCCTTAGCAGCATACAGAGGACTATTGTAGCCAGTCGTGTTGTCCACATTTTTTATATAAAGGTGGTAATCGTATGTCATGGCTGTGGCAAAGTCCAGAACTCTGAAAAAACAAAAGATCTAACGATTAACTACATTTAGTAAACCAATTCATAAAAAAAATAAGAATGGAAATTTGGTAACATTTCTCTGTCAGTTTCATTGGAATTTTTAGAGCTTTATTTTGTATTGAAACTTAACATTTAAAGGATTGCAAGGCATTTTGAAGTTAAAATGTAACAACAGAGCGTGCATGTCTATTTAGCATGATTACACCTTATCTGATTAATGATCTAATTAGCTAAGTACACTATAGTCTAGAAAAGAAACTGTCTTCCCTCGACTATACCTGAGTGGAATAAGCTTCCTCCGGATACTGTATCTAGATTAACAACAAACTCTTTCAAATCAAGCCACTATCGTCACTTTGCAAAAACAAACTAAATTCTTTCTGTCAAAACCTTCCTCTTCCCATCTAAACCCTCCTCTGACATTAATCTTCAAATTGTTCTATGACGTACTTAGACAGGCCTGGTACATCATACACCTGTGACCTACTAAGCCAGGCCTGGTACACCATACATCTGTGACCTACTAAGCCTGGCCTGGTACACCATACACCTGTGACCTACTGGGCCAGGCGTGGTACACCATACATCTGTTACCGACTTAGCCAGGCCTATTATACCATACATCTATGACGTACTTAGCCAGGCCTGGCACATCATACACCTGTGACGTACTTAGGCAGGCCTGGTACATCATACTCCTATGGCCTACTTAGCTAGGCCTGGTCCATCATACACCTATGACGTACTTAGACAGACCTGGTACATCATACACCTGCGACCTACTTAGCTAGGCCTGGTAGATCATACATCTGTGACCGACTAAGCCAGGCCTGGTATATCATAAATCTGTGACCTACTAAGCCAGTCCTGGTACACCATACATCTGTGGCCTACTTAGCCAGGCCTGGCACATCATACACCTGTGACGTACTTATGCAGGCCTGGTGCATCATACACCTGTGACGTACTTATGCAGGCCTGGTGCATCATACACCTGTGACCTACTTAGCTAGGCCTGGTATATCATACATCTGTGACCTACTAAGCCAGGCCTGGTACACCATACATCTGTGACCTACTTAGCTAGGCCTGGTACACCATACATCTGTGACCTACTTAGCCAGGCCTGGTACATCATACATCTGTGAGCTTGGGATGTTTGGTGTAAGAGCAGCAGACATCTGTTTCGAAGCAGAGCCAAGACGTCTTGTTTCATCATCCAAGGTTTTTCGTACAATCTATTAATGAAAAGTCAAAGCATATATTTGTAACCTAGTAAATGAATGAGGTAATTTCTGCCTGTCTGAGATAGGCTTGCCAGTATTTCTATATTTTGTTGTATGAATGCTTTCACTGTGTTTCCTTATTCAAAGCATGAGTACATTTTCTATTTGTAGTAACAGTGACCTTGACCTTTATGCCAAGATCCAGAAATTCAAACTCATCCAAGTTCTCTTAGTGCTTCACACTTAATGATGATCATTGATGACAATCTTCTTCTGTTTATATTGACAGTGACATTGACCTTGGGTGCAGGTTTTGGAAACAAATAGCTGCTCCAGACTTACTGTATACAAAACTTGATGGAAAATAAGGAAAGTTGGAGTAACAATAATTTTTGAGCCAGAATTCTGAATAACAATCTTGTTTGAGGTTGTATAGTACTTATACAGTAGTACTAGAGCAATGACAAACATATGTTATGCATAGTAGCAGTGACCTTGATATAGACTTGTTACGATAGTCTACAACTGAACATATGTAAAGTATCATCTAACGTGATCAAACATGAGGAGGACGGCAAGCATTCTCTATTTAAATAATAAAGCAGTAAGTTGTCGAACATTTGTGAGAAGTTATTTCTACATCCAGTCATGGATGAGGGTAGAAGTGATTTCAACTAGATATTTTCAGACAGACCTGAAAGACAGATGGACAGAGGCAAAGGCAACACAATATGCGTTCCTAGCTAAATGATTCATATGACCAAGACATATTACCTGTATGACTTCTATGACTTAGATATGACATACCTTAATGACTTCTATGACTTAGATATGACATTCCTTTATGACTTCTATGACATACCGGTATGACTTCTATGACTAAGACATGACACACCTGTATGACTTCTATGACTTAGACATGACATACCTTTATGACTTCTATGACTTAGATATGACATTCCTTTATGACTTCTATGACATACCGGTATGACTTCTATGACTAAGACATGACATACCTGTATGACTTCTATGACTTAGACATGACATACCTTAATGACTTCTATGACTTAGACATGACATACCTGTATGACTTCTATGACTAAGACATGACACACCTGTATGACTTCTATGACATACCGGTATGACTTCTATGACTAAGACATGACACACCTGTATGACTTCTATGACATACCGGTATGACTTCTATGACTTAGACATGACATACCTCAATGACTTCTATGACTTAGACATGACATACCTCAATGACTTCTATGACTTAGACATGACATTCCTTAATGACTTCTAGGACTTAGATATGACATACCTTAATGACTTCTAAGACTTAGATATGACATACCTGTATGACTTCTATGACTAAGACATGACATACCTTTATGACTTCTATGACTTGGATATGACATACCTGTATGACTTGCATGTATCCTTTATTTTCCTGAGCACTAGTTTTATGTGAAGGTTCCCAGTCAAAATCAACACCATCAAACTTATACTTTGTTAAGTAGTTCAACACGTTCATAGCAAACCTGAAACATAACAAACAGATGACATCATCACACCTGTACTGTGTGTGATACTGGGAGATACCTTCAGTAAACCAGAAACATAACAAACAGATGACATCATCACACCTGTACTGTGTGATACTGGGAGACACATACAGTAAACCTGAAACATAACAAACAGGTGACATCATTACACCTGTACTGTGTGATACTGGGTGACACCTTCAGTAAACCTGATACATAACAAACAGATGACATCATCACACCTGTACTGTGTGTGATACTGGGAGATACCTTCAGTAAACCAGAAACATAACAAACAGATGCCATCATCACACCTGTACTGTGTGTGATACTGGGAGATACCTTCAGTAAACCAGAAACATAACAAACAGATGCCATCATCACACCTGTACTGTGTGATACTGGGAGACACCTATAGTAAACCTGATACATAACAAACAATTGACATCATCACACCTGTACTGTGTGATACTGGGTGACACATACAGTAAACCTGAAACATAACAAACAGATGACATCATCAGACCTGTACTGTGTGATACTGGGAGACACCTATAGTAAACCTGATACATAACAAACAATTGACATCATCACACCTGTACTGTGTGATACTGGGTGACACATACAGTAAACCTGAAACATAACAAACAGATGACAGGATCACACCTGTACTGTGGGATACTGGGAGACACCTATAGTAAACCTGATACATAACAAACAATTGACATCATCACACCTGTACTGTGTGATACTGGGTGACACATACAGTAAACCTGAAACATAACAAACAGATGCCATCATCACACCTGTACTGTGTGATACTGGGAGACACCTACAGTAAACCTGAAACATAACAAACAGGTGACATCATTACACCTGTACTGTGTGTGATACTGGGACACACCTACAGTAAACCTGATACATAACAAACAGATGACATCATCACACCTGTGCTGTGTGATACGGTGACAATTATAGTAGATCTACCTTATTACTTACTGCTGTTGTTGACTGACGTTAGCTTTGATTACATTGGTGAAATCCTTCTGTAGAGAAATCATCACCGATAGAGATGGATTGACAGACTTGAGCCTGTTTACCCCTTGGTAGAACTCTTCATCTTTGGAGGAGGGTGGAGCCAATGTAAGACCTTCAATGCTAGCGAAGGCCACAATGATATGGGTACACAGCTGAGCAGGAATGGCTGTCGCTGGCATGAAGGAGGTCTGCATTACATAACACACCACCCGGCCACCATCTGTTTGGAAACATTTTAAAATGTGTAACAGGATCATTATTCTTTTTGATTATTTGAGGCTAAATTTGACAGAAATGAAAACAGTCTCCCTGGTATTAAGGTATTACACTTTTTTTATAGTAGACATAGTTGTGTAATAGGGCTGGGGTGAGCTCTAGTGACATATTAGGACTGTTTAGTTGGTTAGAAGCTAATGTATGGTACTGTCAGGCCCATTAAATTTTCTTGATTTCCTTATTCACATATATACCATAACAAATTGAAATAGACTTCAGTTAAAATTTGTGTAAGATAAATCAATAAGGAAAAAGGAAAAAATGACAAAATCACTAATACTACTAAAAATATCATTAATCAGAAGCATCATTCTTGTTTCTCCTATTTCGAGAAAAAAAAAAGCAAATGCTGGATATCCTGGAACAGAATAGTCTGCGGAAAAGGCCGTGTATGTTAATATTTTCAAGGTAGTGATGTTGGTATAATTCACATGTGTACAATGTACCAAGCAGTGACATTAAAACAGTACCTGTAGCGGGGGGGGGTGCCCTCTCACATACCCCATTGGTCAACATCACCACAAGGACCAGGAAACAACCAAGAAATCTAAAACAGGAAAAGCAATTATATATCATATATCAAAATCGAATCTGGCCAGCACATTCGAGTTGTTTTATAAATCTGTGCTGTGACTAAACCTAGTAACAAGTTAGACGTTGTATACCTGAGGCAATGGATTCAGAAGATGGGCTACATAGATACATATAGTCATAGATACATGTACATAGATATTTATATAGCTACACATATTTCACATGGGTACATAGGATTTTACATAGATGCATAGATTTATGAATCAATATTCTTCACCTATTTTGCTTACTACTTTTATATAATGCAACCCAATCATCATATGACCTCAGCCCTTTTAAATACGTTAAACCCTCAACAAAACAATAACTAGACTCCTACAGCACAAAAGAGGGTAATACCTATTATAATTTAGGCACCCAAAGAACAAAATTCTGTCCCTGTTACACATCAGGATACATTTTTGTAGATAGAAATATAGTCATGCAATTTGTTCTTGTTTCTCTTTGAGTGAATCAGTATATACAAATGCTGCCAATAGATGGCACTAATTAATTAATAAAATCTGATTTTCTATTTATTTTTAATATTTTTTTAATTAACAATTTAAAAAAAAAATGTTTAAAGAAATGATTGGCTGCCAAGTAAACCTTAAGCTTCATATAATGTAATGAAGAAAAAAACTTGTAATTTTTAAAACTGACTTTTTAACGGTACATACATGTACATGATGTATAAGAAATTATGTTTTTTTATACACATATATATATAAAAAAAAACACCATATCTTCTGATACATGTATATATAGAAATTGGTTTATCAATATCTTTTTTAATGCATATTTTAAGAAAAAATAGGCATTAATGAACAGGGAAGGAAAACCTGATCAGTGTCCCTAATCTTATTTCATATAGACTGTTCATCATGAGTTATCCTGGAAGATCGACCCATTTCAGTTCCCCTATGCAATCTTCAATTTTCTTATTTCTGTTTACAACACACCGGACAGCACACATACGATATTGATTACCTCAAATAAAATAGCACGTACAGCACCTATGCATTAGCCGCGATAACGTAGCTTTCTGACCACGAGACATTTTTGAGATATTGCGTCGTCAGAGCAGAGGAGGCCGGGTATTAATATTATTTGTTACCTATCTGCATATGTAGATCGAACTCTATCGTATCGCCGCTGCAAGTCACGTGTAAACCCGTTTCTGGACCAAGTTATAACCTAACGTACCAGTTATCCTCTTAAATCTACGTTAAATATTTACAAATGAAGTTCTCACCTGTAGCCTGCCATGTTCGATGTGGCATTCTTCCTTACCCGGCCTCCTTTACTTCCTGGTGAATTTAAACCGAAAGTAGACGGTGTCATTAACCTCCGTATGAACGGGTATTTTTTCTCCGTTACTATCAGCGCATTTAACGGGAAATGTGACGAAAATATAATACATTATAGTGTAACAGATATTTTATGCTTAAAAAAACCCGCACACACACTCCAACGATATAATATGCGATACATCAGAACCATGCAAATGTGATTAGGTAATGTAAAGGATGAAAACACCCCGTCTTATTAGCATAGACTTGCTCATGTCCTTGATCTTGTTCAAACTATGCATGGTGTAAACTGTATTTCATAGTATTTCATAGTATTCTTCCATCATTGGAAATCTCGATAAGGATTGTTGCGATGTCTCTTCTTTTTGCTTTATTCGCGTTAACTTTAAACGCCTTACATTGTATCTGCAAAATGATATCCACATTTATTTCTCAATTTTTATGTGGAAAGACTTAAAGTAGCGATGGAGATTAACTGCAGGTCAGAAGATTTTTTCCCCTCTTCATTTAATATATATACTGAGAGTATTTTATAGTTTTGAGTGATATTATCTGATGTATATGGTTTATTTTTACTATTTGCAGGGTTCGAGATAAGATAGTTACAATATCGGGTTCATTTTTTGTAAGATAAACAATGACTTAACAAAACCAATTTCCTTTCATAATTAATTTACTAATATATTGAAAACGGCTCAACTAACAGAACTAAATCATTGAACGTGAAAGAACATGTAGAAATGCATGAAATAATACGGGAATAACGTTTGTGACCTTTTAATTTTGTTTCTGCTTATTTAATTTTCGGGTCCCAGTGTACACTGTCTGGAAAAGGACAAGATATGTCCTCAACTCAAGTGCTCTTGGTGTTTATCCAACAAAAGGTGAAAAATGGAACAAAAAATAATATAGCAAAAAATCAGCACATTGACCACCCATTTTGTTGGCTGTTGTAGGAAGATGAACACATTTTTCTTTCGGGACGTTTTATATCTATCGTTAAATCTGTAAATGAAAGGTGAAAAAATAGTAATTTTTGCACTTCAAAAGTGGGGGTTGTGGTAACATAAATTGCATTTCTGAGATAAAAGAATAGTTGAAAAAAAATCACTTACATAATTTAGAAGAAAATAACTATTTTTATCACTTGTGCAAACCATTCATTAATTCCTGATAGCACACTTGAAAGGTATTGTATGCATTTGGTCACCAAACAGTCGAAACGATACATTTCACCAAACGTCACACCTTATGTTGAATTGGTATGTTTGACATAACAAACAACGACCACACGGACATACAAAGTTCCATGTATTTTTTATTTTCTCATATTCTCCTTTTTCCAAAACTTCATATAAGAACAAAAGTTTGATACAGGAAGTTTTTGACATCTCAAAGGAGTGCATCCTTAATTTGAGGAGTTTCCTTAAGATAAGAAATTTCCGTAAATTAAGGAAGTTTGTGAAACTGGGACAATCAGTCATCCAATTATCGAGTACAATCTCTTACTTTATCAGGGCCCTATAGACACTAGGTGGTACTGCTCGTCTCTGGTTCACACCAAACCAATAACACACTCTCCGTTATCAGCCTACTACCTAATCATCCCATTATCAAGTCACTTCGTAAGCAACCCATCTGAAGTCGCGGCATCATCATCCTGTGTTAGAGTCGCCATGTCAGTTTTAAATGATTAAAATATCGAATGTGTACTATCTAAACAAATATTCATATGGAAAACAGGAGTGTTGTGTATGTTTACACTATATGAGTTCAATAACATGTACAAATAACTTGTGATATTATCAAAGATGTCCAAGTACTTATGATGATGTTCAAGATAAAATGTGTTCTTTACTTCAGAGAAAAGAGTCGAGTTATGATTTCTGTATGTGTTACTTCCCTTACACCAGAGGAGCACATCGGAAAAGGTCGTGACAAGGTTCCATGTCCATGCATAAATGTTATTTTTAAATTTCGATTTTTTTAAAATTACTCTTAACTGTGCATCAGCATCTTGAGCCATCAAATTTCTGAATAATTCTGCAAGGTAATAAGGGTGGATTTAAATATAGATGAAAGACCTTTTCTGGAGGTAATATATGACACCATATCTGAAGGGTGATATAAACCGAGACAACGCCGCTATAACACTTTATTACATACTTACTAATAAATATGTTTTTTTTTATACAATTGCTCTAACCCATATCAGCCCTCGCCGTATCACACCCCAAAAGCCGTATCAGCCCCCGCCGTATCACACCCCAAAACCCGTATCAGCCCGCAAAATCTATATCACACCCCTTTGGACATTTTTCGTTTTTCAATATTTCAAAAGAAAAATAGCTCATAAGACAGCAGCTTTTATTAGTAAGTATGTAATAAACAGAATAAAACACGCATTTTTCCATATCACACCCAGTATCAACCCTCGACCAATATTGGTCGTGGTAAAGGGGAACAATGTCTTAGAAGATTTACTTCTGAATGGGAAAAATGGTTTAAATTAGTAGAGCTTGACCTCACCTAACCCTGAGTCTTATGACTATTTATATTAAGTTAGTAGGTGTTATTCTCTTGCTTACTCCAACCCCTCCTATTTATGTTTACAAGCAGCATAAACTAAATTGGAATCTTACTTGTCAACGTATATTTCCTTACCTAGATTTACCACTCTTTCTTTTTGTATTATACATTGTCTTCTGCAGGTCTCTATTCAATTAGAATAACAAGCGATGACTGCTGATGCAGGTATACTTGTACAGTGTAAGTCAGATTTGTGTTTTTTGATTACCCCTCCCCCCCCCCTCAAAAAACCCAACCTCGACCAATATCAGACCTCTATTGCAGTCTCGGGTTGATACTGGATGTATCACCCATCATACATAGTGTTGTATCACCCTTCAGACATAGTGTTGTATCACTCATCATACATAGTGATGTATCACCCTTCAGACATAGTGTTGTATCACCCATCAGACATAGTGATGTATCATCCATCATACATAGTGTTGTATCACCCTTCAGACATAGTGTTTTATCACCCTTCAGACATAGTGTTGTATCACCCTTCAGACATCGTGTTGTATCACCCATCATACATAGTGTTGTATCCCCCTTCTTACATAGTGTTGTATCACCCTTCAGGCATAGTGTTGTATCACCCATCAGACATAGTGTTGTATCACCCTTCAGACATAGTGTTGTATCACCCCTCAGACATAGTGATGTATCATCCATCATACATAGTGTTGTATCACCCTTCAGACATAGTGTTGTATCACCCTTCAGGCATAGTGTTGTATCACCCATCATACATAGTGTTGTATCACCCTTCTTACATAGTGTTGTATCACCCTTCAGGCATAGTGTTGTATCACCCTTCACACATAGTGTTGTATATAGTGTTGTATCACCCTTCAGGTCACCCTTCAGACATAGCGTTGTATCACCCTTCAGACATAGTGTTGTATCACCCATCATACATAGTGTTGTATCACCCTTCTTACATAGCGTTGTATCACCCTTCAGGCATAGTGTTGTATCACCCATCAGACATAGTGTTGTATCACCCTTCAGACATAGCGTTGTATCACTCTTCAGACATAGTGTTGTATCACCCTTCAGACATAGTATTGTATCACCCATCATACATAGTGTTGTATCACCCATCAGACATAGTGTTGTATCACCCTTCAGACAAAGCGTTGTATCACTCTTCAGACATAGTGTTGTATCACTCTTCAGACATAGTGTTGTATCACCCTTCAGACATAGCGTTGTATCACCCTTCAGACATAGTGTTGTATCACCCTTCATACATGTCTAAAGGGTGACATGATATCGTATCTGACTGAGGGATAAAACCTGTATTTGTATACGTTGCATGTTTATTGAGTTGTCTGATATGGAAGTATCTGAGGTTAATTCTATCAATACTGAAATTGAACTACGCCCACAAAGATTTATACTACTATGATTAACAGTACGTGACTAGATGAACTCCATCACATGCTCTTCGTGATTACCTTTTTATTTTTGTATTTTACCTGCAGTAAAGTTAAATTTTTTCAGCTTAAAACAAAGATCTACGGATGCATGTATAATACTATACTCATGCATGCATTATAACATTGAAAAGGCCTCAGTTAACTCAATTTCTAATGATTAAACCACGCAAACTCTGTGTTTCATCACATGTCAGATATTGTATTTGAATGAGCCGGCGCCTCAGATAGTTTAAATGTTTGGTATCTCCATAGGTATTTTAAAATTTCCATACTATTCTCTTGAGATTGGATATAGATCTCTAAAGTAATACATGAAACAATAATAAACAAAAGATTGAAAAACTCTCCATACTCCACGTGTGTCACAGTCGAAAGTGTTACGCCCACTTTTTTAAAGGTAGCACGCCCTCTAACGGCAAAAGTGGTAATGAAATGCTCAAAACGTGACTGAGCCCATTGGATTAGGTCTGTTCGAGACACTGCTCGTAAGTATATGTTTACATATCCAACTTTTACCTGAAACACACCATAAGCTAGTGACTTGTAATTTGTAAGAACTATAAATTTATCTCAGGAGATAAACGAACGGGTACGAAACACCTGACAAGAAGTTGTTTTTATCGTGCGTGAACTTTGACCTTGTGTATCGTACACACGGCCACGCTGGTATTGGTAAACAATCACACACTGCAGTCGGACATAGCTTATTAGTATACTCACACGTGCTGTAATTAGGCATACATGCGCTGAATATGGAATTATGGATTTCGACTATATTAATGATGTTAACCTTTTTTGTATTATAATTATTTTAAACCGACATGTGACAATAGCGAACCGTTAGCACCATGTGACAATACATTATCATTATGTAGTGATACAATGAACTTATTATTTTGTTTCACGGACCATGTAAGTGCCTGGGATTTCGTCTCGATGAATTTCCCTTTAACAATGATACTAGATTTTGGGTGGATTGCCTTACTGTATGACTCTGCAGCATAAAACCACCTGTTTGAATAGTGTTCCATGGCT